AACTGATTGACTGACTTTACACACACAATAATAAAATAAGAACTAAAAATGTAAAATGAAAAATAAAATCTTATTTTAATTTTAATATTTAAATTAGGTTTTGCATTTACGCATACTGGCCGTAAAAATGCGTGTTTATATATATATATATTTATGTAAGTATAATTAATGATTAAGTACTGATTTTTTTTTATTTATAAAACGTTAAATTAGGTAAACGTTATATAATATTCCTAATACAAAGCTAAGAGTGATAAAAATAAGCAAGGACGTCGACAAAAAAAGGCGGCCATAATATCACTTACAAATGATTAAATTAATAAAACGTCAGTGGGATATTATGTGTGCGTGTATTAAGTTACCACGTTACCTGCAGCTGTAGCCAAATGCCATTTAGCGCTTGTCTACATGTAGAATAGAAAACCAAATTAAATGCCATTTAGCGCTTGTCTATATGTAGAATAGAAAACCAAATTAAATGCGATTTAGCGCTTGTCTACTACATGTAGAATAGAAAACCAAATTAAATGCCATTTAGCGCTTGTCTACATGTAGAATAGAAAACCAAATTAAATGCCATTTAGCGCTTGTCTACATGTAGAATAGACAACCAAATTGGCTAAAGGCCCAGTGCCTTTAGCCAAACGCCACTTTAGCGCTTGTCTACAGAGAGAGAGTAGAAAACAAAATGCATGGGGATGACACTTACAAGTGTCAAAATTTACGTCAAACCCATATAATTTAGTTTTCTATTCTACATGTAGACAAGCGCTAAATGGCATTTGGCTACAGCTGCTGGTTTCAGAAAATGACAGATGCCCTTCGTGTCAATGTGTGTGTGTGTTCTGCGTGTAAGTCTATAGTAGCCAGGTGCCACAGTCGTTGTATCAAGAGACGTGTCCGCCTGTTTTTCGACATCCTTGGTGATCAATACAAGTTTTGAAATGTCCGGAGGCTGGCATAGTACCAACATATTTTTTAAAGGAGAAAATCAACTAAAGATTTTTTGAAAAGTCGTGCTTCATCACAAATGTTATTATGGGAGAGTGGCACTGCTAGGCTGGCTCGACCGGAGTGATGCCACGGCCTGACAGAATACACTTAAAATTGTATTTTCATTGTTTTACAAATTTTATTGTAAGTTACAGTTGCAATTTTAAATTCGGACATGTTTACAATAGCGACTCTAAGAAATATACAATTTAATATAGGGAATAAGTTAAGAAACTGTGCTTGGCTTGACACATTGAAGAATACAAGGTGTTGTTTTAAAGCCGCCGTATAAAAGCCGTATAAAATATTTATAAAAGACAAAATAAATATTACAAGTTTGTTAGTTTACTGTTTTTGAGATCGAATTCACATAACGAATAGACAGGAATACCAATTGAGATCATAAAAATATTATTTTTAAAAATATAAAAAAAATAGATAATTTTCTAAAAAAACAGGAATTTTTGTTTACGAAAAATCACAGGATATTTTATGCATCATTAAAAACTAAAAATTTTTACATTTTCCAAAAACATGTTTTTATATTTTTACTTACTAAACTTATTTTTATTATTAATTAATGCTAAATAATTTCTGAAATACTGGCCCCAAATATTATTGCTTATTTGATTAAAAAAAACTAAAATAATAATATCTTATTATCTACTTAAGTACATAAACATTTGAAACAAAACAAATTATTTATAAAAAAATGTGTTTTAATATAATAATTATTTTATGAAAAAAAATAGGAAATTATTTTTTCATTATTATCATCTAGTATTGCCACTACTGCCCTGTAAACTTTAATTTAATAAAACATAAATTTTAATAATTATTTTACCTAATTATTTCGGAACTTTTTTGAACACTATACAATAAGTATAAGAAAAAACCATAAACCATTAAAAATAATTAAAACATATACGTAATATATTTAAATCACATGGTGACGAGTAGGTACAAAAAACAGCAGCTCATGTAGTGTAGATGTCCAGTCAACAAGGATGTAGCGAGGTTGACTGTCCAGGCGACACACGTACTTAGGTATCGTCATGAGCTAATGTTCACATGTAAACAGCAGCTCATGTAGTGTAGATGTCCAGTCAACAAGGATGTAGCGAGGTTGACTGTCCAGGCGACACTCGTACTTAGAATTAGAGTGAAATTCTACCACTAAATATAATGAGAAAAATAATGTATAATAAAAATACTTATATTAATAAATGTATTTATATTACTGGCCTTAATTGTTTAAAGTATAATGACACTTATTGTCGCTTAAATGGAGGATATATTTGCTTGTTTTTCTAGGCATTTTTTTATAGACAGTGATTGACAAGACTGTCTTCCCTTACATCTAGATGGCGTTACTGTTTTAACTCGTCGAGTATCGTCATTATAGACACAATTAAAGAACAATAGGTTGCGGTCACCGGTGACCTCGCGGTGTTTGACAGTTTAAGGGTTTTAATAGTCAATCTAATTTAAAATAGATTTTAGAACTATTATCGTCTCAGTCTAGATCAGGTCAATTTTTTTAGTGTTTTAAAATAACTGATTATATTTTTATATCAAGATTCTAGCACTACTTTTTAGCAGTACCTAATTAATATATTTGTATTAACATTGGTAAACTGATGAAATATGAATGCACTGATTATCTAATCTATTATCTGTGGATGTCAACTTTTTTATCTGTGGTTGTATTATTTTTTTTTTGTTTTTAGCTTATCAAAACCTTACTTATAAGTGGTCTGACATTAGCTCTGGTTCTCTGTCTAACCTGTATTGGCTTATTTATGTATGTGTATGTGCGCAATTATCTCGCTATTTTCAGAACCGATTTCGATGCAGTTTTCAGAAAAGTGTTCGTTACAAACAGGAAAAGGTTTTAGTATATTAACCCCTCGAGCGTCCTTATGAGCACCCGGTGGATCATAAGAAAAAATGTTCCATGCTGCTTTATCTTTTATAAAATCTATTATTAATGTTTTGTTTTTATTTTGACTGTATTTTTTAATTCTATTGTAATGATCCTTGTTTTCGTGTGCCAATGGCCAAATAAATGCATTTTCTTTCTTACTTTCTCCAAATGTCACGTGTGCACCCGTTGGATCATAAGGAACTCGGACGCTCGACGGGTTAATTAACCGACTTAAAAAAACATCGGTGTTTTTAATCGAAGTTTATTTAAGAATTATTTTAATTTATCGTAGCCATCCTAAATGTTTTCGTTTACATAAAGAAATGCCCAGAAATAAACAAACGTAATAGATTAATGATAATATCATATTTATCAGGTAGGAAAAATATATCCCCATATTGCATTTTTGTATGCAGACCTAGTTTCTGCCCACGGCTTTACCCGAGTAGCCTATGTGTTATTCCAGATCATAATCTATCCCTGTTCCAAATTTCATCCCGATCCCTTCAGTAGTTTTGAAGTGATTGAGTAACAAACATACAGACAAACAAACATACTTTCGCATTTATACTAACTTTTACCCGCGGCTTCGCTCGCGTCACAAAAGGATAAAAAGTAGCCTATGTGACATATACCAATACACACAGCGCCATCTATACCAATACTTTTGTTTTACCTCGAGAATATCAAATTTTTCCGGGTTAAAAAGTACCCTAATATTTAATCCAGACTTCTAACTTTACATCTGCAAAAATTCAAAGCAATCGGTTTAGTAGTTACGGCGTGAAAGCGGAACAAACAAACAAACAAACAAACAGACTCACTTTCTGATTTATAATATTAGTAAGGATAATAAGATACGTTTGACATACAAATATCGACCTTAGCACCCAAGTTTTAAGTTCTAAATTAGCTTAAACTATGTGCACTTATAAAATATAGTACTTATATATAAAAAATATATTATTGTCATATCATTTTGAGCAGAAAATCACACAAATAATAATGCCCTTACATTATAATTGTTATTATATAACAATTGTAGCCTTTAATCGAATGTCTACTATATTCGGTAGTAGTTAGAGTCGATTTCAGAATACTCGGTGTATTTGAAATCTTTTGTCTAAGTTTTAATGTAAATTGAACTTTATATGTGGGTAATAAAGTTCGTTTTTGTAAAAATTATGTGAAGTTGTCTTGTCTATCTTATCTTAGTATTTTTTCGAAAGTGATCATTATTTGTTATTATATTTAAGATGAATTTTAAGTAAAAAATCTGTTAACCAGCTTTTTATATCCGAGGTAGCCCTCAGATACCAAGAACACCATACAATCGTCATTCTTCGAGATTGCGCAACATGAATTGATCGATTTATAAAAACCGTTCGCCGATTTCTCAAGACGCCTTTTTTCCTAACATCGGGACGTTAGGACGCTAATTTTAAGTACTTAGTTTTAATATATCATTGTAACCTTTAATAAACTACTTGTCTATTAATTTGTTGCGTTATTTGAATCTCCTCCGCTGCCCACATCGTAATTAGCTTGGCTAAAAATAATATATTAAACATAAAGTACAATTTCGGATAACAAATAGCAAGTACATTGAATTTCAGTGCCATTCAAAGATAGACTTTATTCTTAAACCGTTAGCGTTTATCTTCGAATAACAATTTATAATGATATTTTAGTTGATTGCTAAACAAAAATGAACTCTAATGCTCAGAACAATATTTTTTATAACATTGCATTACATGCAATTCGAGGTTTATAATAAAATTAGAATTTAACAAAACTTTAGGAAAAAGACGTTAACGTTCACTTTTGAATACCAAAAACTAACTAAACCGACCTTATGTAAGAAATTTTGTCAAACAAAACCTAACTTTATTATTACAGTCATAACGCTCAGTTTCAAATGACAAAATTCAACTAATAAGAATCAAAATCAACATTCATGCCAAACGAAAATCAACTCTATTGCACAGAAATTAATATTCACTAAAAAAAGAATGCAGACAAAAGTACAAAGGTAACATTGCCAATAAGAAATGAACTTTATAACCCCTTACTTTAAAGATCAATGTCTCCTCATATGTAATCCCAAGTGGTCGGATCTGGCGAAAGATCGTCTGCACAGCGGACAGGTGAAAGGTCGATGACCCGTGTGTTTACGAGTGTGTCTAGTCAACTCGTCAGATCTGGCGAAGCGCCACTCGCAGCCCGCCCAGGCACAGGAGTATGGCTTTTCTCCTGTAACAGAGAGGACAAACAAATATTATAATACAAATAAATAAAGATGAACAAATAAAATATCTAGACTTAGCTCACGAGGTTGTCGACATGTGGAATGTGGATTCGGCTATCATTGTGCCGATAGTCGTGTCGGCTAATGGATTAATCCCTAAAAGCCTCGACATCCATCTTAGAAGGCTGGCGTTATGAGAATGGATCAAGGGCCTGATACAGAAGACAGTTCTCCTAGAAACGGCACGTATCGTGAGGAGGTTTCTGTCTCTGGAGCCATAACCACCGGTAGCTCGGACCATGCTCCCGCTACTGGTCGGCTCCTATTTTTTATATTTTTAAATATTATTTTTTTATTTTGTAAGTAGTATTTAAAATGTAATTTATAGAGAATTTTAAATAAATATATGGTAATTGTAATACTAGCTTCAGCCTGTGTTCCTAGAGGATAAAAAGTAGCCTATAATTATGTTGTTTTTATAATAACTATCGTGAGACATACTAAATTAACTAAAAATCGCGAGTTACTCACGTGAATATACTGAGAAAAGTCCTACTAGTTGCGAACGACTGCACGGTTGGCGCGGTGGCTGGGCATTTGACGTGTCACGGGTTCGATTCCCGCACGGAACAACTCTTTGTGTGATCCACAGATTGTTGTTTCGGGTCTGGGTGTCATGTGTATGTGAACTTGTATGTTTGTAAACGCACACACGACACATGAGAAAATCCTAGTGTGGGGCAACGTTTTTTCTAAGAAAAAAAAAACCTTCTTGCGGCGATGTAGCCCAGCCTATTGACAGACTGCGCAATATCGTCGCGCACGCTGCTCATGAGGAAGAACCCCTCTGTGGTCCAAACAGAGCTTTTCTCAGTGTATTCACGTGAGTAACCCGCGATTTTTAGTTTGTTAGCCTATATGTTATTGTAGACCATAATTGACCCCAGTTTCAAATTGTATCCCGATCCCTGTAGCCGTTTTGACTTGATGAAGTAAAAACATACAGACAAACTTTTGCATGTATAAAATTAGGTAAGAAATAAGACAAATAATAATTACTTATAAAAAAAATATTATGTCTACCAAATATCAGATCGATCTGCCACCAGGAAGGAGATAAAATTCCAGTTACTAAAGACTTTGGGATAAGTAGACAAACGAGCAGTCGGTGCGGTCGATGGTAAGCAAAACGGCGTCCTGGAACACCAGAGGCGTTACAAATGCGTTACCGGCCTTTTAGGATTAAGAATTTGATTGATTGATGGGGATTTGGGGATTGGCGAAGAGTGGGTGAGTATTATTGGGCATACGGTAACCTCACTCACACGACGAAACACATCGCAAGCGTTGTTTTACGTCGGTTTTCTGGGAGGCCGTGAAATCCCTGATTTGGGGATTGGGGAAGAGTGGGTGAAGGGCCTACGGAAACCTCACTCACACGACGAAACACATCGCAAGCGTTATTTTACGTCGGGTTTCTGCTTGGCCGTGGCATCACTCCAATCGAACCGGCCCATTCTTGCCGAAGCATGGCCCTCCATTACTTCTCTCACACACAAAATACTCAAATAAACAAACAAACCAACGGAGCTAACTAAAACCGTTTAAAATTGACCGCGTTGTCTCGCGGAGGTCATCTGTGACGCCGGTGCATTCGTGCCGAAACATAGGAGAAAATATGAAGAAAACCTCACCTGTATGGGTCCTCTTATGCGCCTTCAAATGCGAACTCTTCGTATACACCTTATGACACCCGGCCACGTCGCATTTATGCAACCTTCTCCTGCTGCCATCTTCATGATTATTGACAAATTCTTCATCCTTTTTCATATCAATTTTAGAGTTTCTCTGCTGTATATGATGCAGGGAATCTGATAGAGCTGTTTGTAATGCTGTGTTTAATATAAATGACTTTAATTCGGCGTCTGTAGTTGGTTTGTGGGGTGGTAGGATTGGGATCATTGGTAGGTATGGTTTCGTCAGTTCTATAGATAGATGGGGGGTGGTCGCCGTGTGGGTTGATGGTTTTAGTCTGTAAAAGATATTAAAATAAAATTAGCTCAATTTACACTACAATAACTATTTTTTTTTTTAATCTATTGTTTCTTACAATTAATTAAACTTCATACAACGAACTACTCTTAATAATATATATTTTACATGTTAATTACTATTTGCAGAAATAATTTAAACTTAAAATAAAAAAAAAACATTTGCAGTTTTTTCTTACAATTGAATATGTATTGAGAAGTGTAATTGGTTGTTTGTACCGTTCTATTCGTATAAATAAATTAAAAATAAAATAATTTGGTTTTCTATTCTACATGTAGACAAGCGCTAAATGGCATTTGGCTACAGCTGCAAGTTACGGTGTTAGGAAATAAAAAGTCAAAAGTTGGACTGACTTGTTCATTATTTGCTTAGGTCGCCGCGCACTTCTGAGATCTGGACCCATTTTGATTTTAGGTAATTGATGACTTGAGCTGAAATGGAAATTAAAACAATAAGTAGATAGACATAGACAATAAGTACAAATCAATTACTTTTAACATGTCATACCGTTCTACCATAGTTTTTATATTTATAACTTTTCCTTTTTATTATTATTATTAATTTACTGTATCTGCTGTAAATTTTGTTGTTTTCCTTTAATTAGCAGACTTGGAAGTTATTTTTCTTAAGAGTGTTAATTAAATAAAGAAAGGATCGAGTCAGTCCCAACACAAGTATTGTATAATAACTCACTGGGACTGCCTCAATGTTAGACAGATAGTGTAATTCTTAAGATAATAAAGAATTTTGAATTTTTGAATTTTGAAGTAGATACTAAAATAAATATATCCTGAAATATATTTCGTTTTTGGAGTACTTTCGATATACATATAAAGTAAAAACAAAAAATAAAGATACTATTAAGTATAAAAAAAATCATGGAAATACGCACATGAAACACTAGACGTAAAACACTAGATTGACTGCCTCGATGGCCGAGTGGTCACCGGGCTAGAGGTCTCGGGTTCAATTCCCGGGTCGGGCAAAGTATTACGGGTTTTAAAAAAAAATTTAGTAGTAGCACGGAGTCTGGAAATGTGCCCGGTATATGGCAATAGACTCACCCCCTATAACATGGGACTCATAACATAAATAGTGAAAAGTGGATGTTACTTTGTACAGTGGCATAATGTGCACCTCTGCCTACCCCATCGGGGATAAGAGGCTTGATGTTATGGATGAACTAGATTAACGAGGTAGCCGTTTGCAGTTGTATGTAGTATCTATGAATGCTACTTACTTGAATATCAGATCTGTGGCTGAGCTGTCATCTTCCCTGGTGATCATGGATGAAGTAGGGGCACCTGTAAGGAAGATTTAAATAACTTTAATTGGAGTTTTTTCTTAAATATTTGCCCCACACTAGGATTTTCTTCTGTGTCGTGGGTGCGTTTACAAACATACAAGTTCACATACACATGACTCCCACACCCAAAGTGCTCAAAGTCAAAATCATTTATTTCAATTACACCAGGAAGGCACTTTTGAACGTCAAAACAAAATATATAAATATTAAATAATAAGAAAAAATGTCAGTCTGTAGGTCAGTCCTCCAGTGAAGCTATTTGCTCGTTCCAAAGTGTAGATTCCTATGGAGAAGAACGAGCAAGAAACTCCATAGGTTACTCTTTTTCAATCATGTTCACAATACAATTTTTGGTTACATTCTTTCGTTGAGTTCAACCCGGAACAACAATCTGTGGATCAGACAAAGTGTTGTTCGTTACGGGAATCGAACCCGCGAAACGTTGCGTGGCAGCCAGTAGCCCAGTCACCGCGCCAACCGAAAACTCTTTTACCATTGGATAATCAGTTTTTCAACAAGTAACAAACATAGGTTTGTTGTTTGTTGTAATTATAAATAAATTGTGCAATAGGTTACTTTATATCTTAATACTAGATACTTCCGCGCGGTTTCACACGCTCTGCTCAGCTTCTATTGGTCGTAGCGTGCTGTTTTATAGCCTATAGCCATCCTCGATAGATGCGCTATCCAACACAAAAACAATTATTCAAATCAGACTTGTAGCTACGGAGATTAGCGCGTTCAAACAAACAAACAAACTCTTCCGCTTTATATAATAAAGTATAAGTACATTAACCTGTTGAAATTCATCCCCTAAATTTGTTCATACAAAAGTAGTCTCTAAGCTATGGAAATAAGGTCTATAATGTAGGTAGTGGAGAGCGGTCACCGGTGACCGCTTGGGGATCTATTATAAGATATAAGATTCGTAAAGAACCAAGACCTACTCGACAGAAACCTACTAAATACAAGCGAAGTCGCAGGCGGGAAGCTAGTTAATTGTGTAAAATGGACTCGTATTCAATAGTATTGCAACTACAAAACATGAAACATAAATTAGCAAAAATTTTTTTAACCAGCTCGTCAAATTGAAATGCTTTAGTTTTTATATCGGCAGCGATTGATGCGTAAACGCATGTGCATTGTGTATGAAGATACAGAAGTATTAATGAAGAAGGCCATATTAACTAAAAATCGCGGGTTACTTTACTAGTTACTAGTTTCCGAAGCTTGTATTGGTTGGTAGGCAAGAAATCCCAACTATCTAATGAAAGCAAAATGTTAATCTACAAAGCAATCCTCAAGCCATTATGGACGTACGGCATCGGATCGAGCATCCAGCAGCAACATTGACATCTTGGAAAGATTCCAAACTAAGAGCATTAGGTGCATATATAACATACCTAAATGCATCAGCAATACCTAAATATATTTTACGAGATCTAAATCTTAATACGGTGAAACAAGAAATCTCCATAAGAAGTTCCAAGTATGAGACCAAGTTATCGAATCATGTAAATGCCTCAGCTAATAAACTAACAGGCACTGGCAGCGTTCAGCACTCAAGACTGAGGAGAAACAGTGTTCCCTCCCTCGAAAACTGTTAAATTAAAGGCGTATTCACTGGTTTAATTACAATAAATCTTTATTATACCGGTACTCGTTACGATGTTTTAACAGACATTGACATTAGAAAAGAAAAAGGCGGGAGATAGAAAAATATTACAAGTAGCCAAGCGTGAGTTGGCGTCATAAGGCGCGAAATTCAAATTATATTTTTTTTTTTAAATTTTAACACTCCCCTTGAATTCGAGCCTTGTTAACTAGTTACAAACAAAAATAATACAATTTTAATAATGTTCCTATCAAATTCTATATCAATAATAAGATATATAATTATGTAAATTTACTTTAACAAATTAAGTACATGGACACATTCCAAGATTGGATCTTAAAAATTGAAACTTGTGTTTAGACAATGCTTTGGTTAATATATCAGCAAATTGGGTGTCACTACTGACATACTTTAAATCTATAACCTTCTGCTGATATTTTTCCTTAATGAAATGATATTTGGTATCTATGTGTTTACAACGTTTATGGAAATTCACATTTTTAATAACACTGATTGCACTTTGATTGTCTAGATGAAGATATAGTATATCCTGTGTGTATTCTCCAATTTCAGACAAAAATTGTTTGAGCCACATCACCTCTTTAGTGGCAGCACAGGCAGCCATAAACTCTGCCTCCGTCGTGGATAGGGCCACAGTTGGTTGTCTCTGACTGGCCCATGTTACAGCGGCTCCATTTTTCATAAAAACATAGCCGGTAACTGATCGACGGGTGTCGAAATCGTTTGCATAGTCGGCATCACTATAGCCAGTCACTTCTGAGGGTTGTGTGGTGTTAGTGTAACACAAGCCATACTCCTTTGTGTCTTTCAAATATTTTAAAATCCTTTTAACTGCATTCCAATGTGTTTGGTTGTAACTATTAAGGAATCGACTCACCAGACTGACAGCAAACATGATATCAGGTCGACTCACTATGGCCAAATGCATGAGAGATCCCACAGCTTCTCTGTATGGTATGTTCTTCTCAGGCTCGCCTTCTCCCTTTTGTAACTTCATGTGAGGGTCGACTGGAACACTGTTGGCATTAGCATTACTCATATTAAATTTGTTCAACATTTGTTCCACATATTTGGTCTGATGAATAAATATGCAATTACTGAATTTTTCTATTTGCATACCTACAAAGTTTCTTGGTCTGTCAATTATTTTAATTTCAAATATGGTTTTTAATTCTTCAGTTATTTCTTTCAATGCTAATTTATCTGTAGAGAATAACAACCCATCGTCGACATATAGACAAAAGTAGCATTTCGTCCTATTGACTTTACCAACATAAACACATTGGTCAGCTTTACTGTTAACAAAACCAAACTTTTTAAGTACAGAATCAAATTTACTGTTCCAACAACGCGGAGCCTGCTTTAACCCATATAATGATTTGTTAAGTTTACATACCATATTTTCTTTGCAGCTCAGTCCTTGTGGTGGAGTCATTAATATAGTCTCTTCAAGTTCACCATATAAGAAGGCAGTCTTGACATCTAGTTGGATAATTTCGAGGTTTTGTTGAACAGCTACAGATAATAATAACCGGATAGAATCATACCTCACTGTTGGTGCAAAGGTTTCCTTATAATCAATGCCCTCTGTTTGAGCATATCCTTTGGCACATAATCGTGATTTATAGCGTGGACCTGTTGTTTCATCTTTGACTCGGAACACCCATTTGCATCCTATTAATTTAGCATTTGGGGGTTTTTCTACCAATGTCCAGGTATTGTTTTTCTGATGAGCTTCTAGTTCTTCATTAATGGATCTTCTCCATTCTTCTTTATTTGCTTAATTTAAAGCCTCTTTATATGTTGCAGGAATATCTGAGAGGTGTTCTTCATGGTGACACAGGTAAGTATTTTCTTCTGAATCATCTATATCTATAGTACCTTTTATTATTTTCTTTCTAGGTCTCAGTGTGATGTTGCTGAGTTTAGGACTATCAAGAGAGGTGTCAGGTAAGTAATCACTGTCTGAAGATTTATTTTCATATACAGTGTCATATGAACTATCGTGTATAGAATTTTCATCTTCTACTTTCTCTTTAATACTATCTTCATTTGTTGCAGATTTCTCTGATAGATCAACAGGAACATAGTTTCTCTTCACAGTGGACTCTAGAAATATAGCATCTCTGCTTTTCACTACTTTTCGAGTTTCAGGTATTATGAATCGGTAGCCTTTTGTGTGATCACAGTACCCAATGAAGATCATCTTCTGAGCCTTAGGGTCCCACTTCTTTCGTTTTTCTTTGGGAAGGTGTACCATAGCTTCACAACCAAATATGCGCATGTGATTGACATTTGGTTTATGTCCAGACCACATTTCTTCAGGTGTTTTGTATGACAGGGATTTAGTCGGAGAACGATTGATGACATAAGCAGCGGTATGTATTGCATCAGCCCAGTACATTTTTGGTAAGTTAGCATTTAGAAGCATACACTTTGCTCTTTCAATTAGTGTTCTATTTGCTCGTTCCGCTGTGCCATTTTGTTGTGGTGTGTATGGTGTGCTTGTTTGATGAATGATTTCCAGCACTTTTTAAATAATCAAAAAAAGTTTATTGACATACTCCAAGCCATTGTCTGATCGAAGAATTTTTATATGAGTGCCCAGCTGATTCTCAACTTCTTGCTTTTTTTTTTTTTTTTTTTTTATGGAATTGGAGGCAAACGAGCAGACGGATCACCTGATGGTAAGCGATCAGCGCCGCCCATGGACACCCGCAACACCAGAAGAGTCACAGGTGCGTTGCCGGCCTTTTAAAAAGGAGTACGCTCTTTTCTTGAAGGTTTGAAGGTCGTATCGGTTCGGAAATACCGCCGACGACAGATCATTCCACAGTTTTGCTGTGCGAGGCAGGAAGCTACGTGAGAACCGCACAGTTGTGGCCTGCCAACCATCTATTTGATGGGGATGCATATGCTGTCGTGAGGGCCGATGGCGAAAAGATGCGGCAGGTATCAGGTCAAACAATTCCTCAGAGCACTCCCCGTGGTATAAGCGGTAGAAAATGCACAATGAAGCTACATCTCTACGCATTGCCAAAGTGTCGAGCCGGTTTGAAACACCCGGACATCCAACAATCCGAACGGCACGCCGCTGAATGCGGTCCAGAGGAAGAAGCTGGTACTGGGGTGCCCCCGCCCAAAGATGAGAACAGTATTCCATGTGGGGCCGCACCTGTGCCTTATATAGAAGCAGGCGGTGGGCCGGGGTGAAATACTGCCTCGATCTATTGAGCACACCAAGCTTCCTCGAGGCTAATTTGGCCTTATCCTCTAAATGACCGCAAAACTGGACGTCGCTCGAAATGTTGACACCAAGTATTCCAATACTGGCTGAGGCAGTTAGGGGGGTGCTTTGAAAATGAGG